GGCCTGCATCCTATATCTGAAGTTTGGGTCTCCCTCGTTGCTACCTCCAGTTGGCTAAATTGTACCTAGCCCAACTTCAGAATCAAAAATATGTTATTGTTTACCTAAACACATTATTATTATTTTTAATTAAAAAAATAGTTATTGTAAATATTAAAGCAGGATTTATAGCTAATGTAACTGATGATGATAACCCAAAACAATGAACATCCATACGACAGACACACAACTCTTCAGAGGCAGCTAAGCAGAAACCATTTCTGAACTCTTACAAGCATCACTATCTATTAATGCCGTACCTGCAACATTTATTTTTAAATCTACAAATACCTGATACAAATGAAGATTTACAGATAACTTTCTTATAAAATTTACATCAGTTAACATCATTGGTGGTACAGTATTGTAGCCAGGTTAGACTCATCACTAGGTTACTGGGCCAAGCTATGAAGTGTTATGGTTGTTTTTCAACTCGTATTTTTGGGTAGAAATATGTAACTTTCTTCATTTATTTTTACTCAGTTACATGCAAACACCATCCAACATACATATTGTGAAAAAAAGTAAAATAGATAATTGTCATAAGGATAAACTCAAAGGGAATATAGATTTCTTTGCACATGAGTTAGCTGGGTCAGTGAGGGAGCAGGAAGAGGGAGCGTTGCTTGGGAGTCGGCACAGTTAGTGTCCCTGCTGGTCTTCGTTGCTATGGGGAAGCAGGGATTGTAGGCAGATGGTGATTGTGTTAAACTTTCATTTGGCTTTTGTTTACTGGTTGGCAGTACAGTATTTTTTTTTTAAACTTATTTATTGATATTATTTTTATTTATTTCTCACATTTACTGGTACTGTACATATTAAGAAAACCATGAAAACAGAAGCAAAATGCACACAAGATTTTTCCTAATTACTCCCTGCTGAAATAGGGATGCATCTCATATGGCCGTGTGTCTTATATGCCACAAAATACAGTATTTTACCAATGCAGGTAATTTTAGTTTACCTGGAGTCCAATAAGTATAATACTGTACAGTACTGTATAAATATTATGCAGTACCTGTACTATGCTATGTAAAAATATTTTTTAAATAAAACTATACAAGTTATGTTAATTTTCACACATGAGTACCCTTACTTACATAAACTGGGGATCCCAGGATAAGGACTGATTTTGTCTCCCAAGATCCTGGTATGTTGAAAACACCCCAAAATGAAAATCCTACTGTGGTCTTCTTCCATAGCATAATACAAACATATCTATATGGTTTATCTATGCCATTTCACAAAGTACAGTACAGTAGAACGTCGATTTAAAGTGATTCAGTTTAAAATTATTGATTTAAAGCGATTCAATTTAAGATTATTGATTTAAAGTGACACCCACAATTAAGGACTGTTTAAATTTAAAGCAAATCTTTCCTATTTTACGTGAGTCAATCTGGAGCATCATATTTTAAAATTAGCTCCTAATGTTTCTCTGGGGACGCTACACTGTCCTAAGGGCAAAGCTGTACTGTATATGTACTCAAAATAATGTACTAAATGATTACAAAAATTTTTGTCTAAAGCAAACTATAGCATGATTATATTAAAATTACAGTAGGCTCTCATAATTGGACACCTATTTAGACTGTAAAAACCTCGCGAAATTCAAATCGTCCAAATTTAAATACAACTTCCTATGGAGAAAATTAATTTGAGTCTGGTACTTTCGATGTTTGGCTAAATTTTGCCTTATTTACCCTACTTTTTTGGCAAATTACTACCTGTAATAAAGCAACATCCTAATAAACCAACGAAAATAACAGATAAAAATAAATAAAAACTAAAACAACACAGAAAAGGTTTTTATGTTCTACAGCTTCAGCTAGAGTTAAACCTGATGACTTGGCAACTTCGTCATCCGAGTAAAAACACACACAACAACATTGGCTGTCCTTATGTTTTCAACTTTACCACCACTGGTGAGTAGAATTTTTTTTTTAATTCAGAAGCATTAATTAAAACATATATGAACAGTAAATACGTGTTACTTTCATATTCTTATGTAGAGTAATGACGATATGTTTTCACATGTGCGCACTTACAGTACATACGTGGTCTCACTTTTTTCTTTACCATTAATGGTTAGCTACTTTTATTGTTCCATTTATTAACATTAAAAACATTACTTTAAACAACCATAATAATTTTTTTACATTAATTTTACAACAGCTACAACCAGGGTCTTATTTTCTTCAGTTTTATATGTAGAACCAGCCAGTCACTGGTTTTGTAAACATTAACGAAAACAATGCCATCTAGTGTACTCGTGTGTTTTAATATTCTACGTATTAATGATGAATTGTATTGTTCATTTTGCACACATAAACATTAATTCAATCAAAAAGACATTCAGTATTAAACAATAATGAATCTTTTGTACATATGAGAAATGACTCTGTTTTCACAATTGTGCACGTCTGAACGTTGGCGGGCCGCTCTAACCTGTCGAAAATCTAGTTTCCGCCGTCGAAATTTGAAATTGTGTAGTGTTGTTTTTTGTGTCCAAATAAAAAAAATCAAATTAAAAACTCGCAAAATTTGAGAACCTACTGTAATCACTATCTTATAAAAAATCCAGTAATGTAAATTACATTCTCCCCGGCCACTTCTGTAACATTTTATAAACAAAAACTAAATCTAAAGAACATAAATAAACAAATAAATACTTCACTAGACCTTCGGCCCCAACTGTCAAACGGCCCCAACTGTCACCACCCAGCAGATTGGGTGGTTATAGGCTTACATTTTTTATCTTATATAATATCACAGACTTAAATTAGGAGAATGTAATTTACATTGCTGAAATCCTTGCAAGACAGCAGATAATTTTAATAAAAACTTCATATATTTTGCACAAGCGATAAAATTTTTAGCCCTTTGTAATAAAATGAATTAGAACATGCTGGTTCAGTGACATTTTATAAGAAAAAACTTAGGACAGATAAATAAATAAGCACTAGACCTTGGCATCAACTGTCAAACATATCACCTCACCCCCCCCCTCCCATCAGCCGATCGCTAGTAAACAGACCATTTCACATTCCATAATTTTAGCTGTGTTGATTTATGAGTGTTTCTTTTAACATAATACTACAAAAAACAATGTTTTGTTTATTCTAGGAAATGGGCTGAGGTGCATCTGGGTAGACTGTCAGTTTTTTTAGTATTTTGTTTCTCTCCATTGAAACAACACTTTGATTTAGTGCGAATTCGGTTTAAAGCGACCTCTCTTGGAAAGTATCTCGTGTTATATCGACGTTCTACTGTATAATCATTATTGGTACTGTATAATTACCTCCTGCGCCAAAAACAAACTTTTCATCAAAGCCATAAACCTTGCGAGCCATTGCTTGGCTCCTTGCCCTAGGTCCTGCCATGATGATGTTTAATTTGGTAATAAGGTGATATGTTACATCATTAGCTTGCAAAGCTTGAGTTATGGCCTCGCCTTCAGCACATGCTTGACAAGTTAGGTGAACTATTGTACGAGAAACTCCTGGGCGCCATCTGAAAAAGAAAATCATCCTATGAAAATATAAAATATGAGGCAGGAAATAACTTTCACACATTATTGCAAGTTATCATAACATTCTCACATACTTCAAGTGTCGACAAAATAATGCTAAGTTACTGCTAGAAAGTTCCCAGAGAAGCATAACTTACTGGGATAACATATCTTAAAATTCTATAACATACTCAAGGTTTTGGGCTGTGGAGACAACAGATGTAGCATTGGTGGTCGAGGTGGAGTCATCACTAGCATAAGTATTAAGATGTACCTCTGCCTCACTTTTGCTAATAAAACCTGTCGAAGATGTTGTCTCTGCCGTTCCTGTCACCACAGCATAACGGACATCACCTGAAAAATTATGGGATAAATTATTGTTTCGATTAAACTGTAGAGAAAATATTAATTGACAAATTATATTTTGATTACCGATTCCCCTCAAACTAAAGTTAAGAGAAAACTAAAGATAATAGTGACACTATACTTATATGTCTAAAGCATCAATATTTGGCTAAAACTTCCCTCTTGGTTAGAGTTGGTTGGAGAAGAAATATGCTCTCAAGATTAATTTTATCTGTTAACAAAGAATACTAACCCTGGACAATGAAAGTTATAAGTACAACAGACTGACTGCCTGAATGGCTAGTAAGCTGATCAATATTGAAAAGAAAAAAATGCAGGGGTTATGATTGTGAACATGTACTTCTGAGGTTTTGCTTAATTACAAAGAAGAATACCATAACTATTACATTTTCATGAAAATTTCATTTCTGGATCATCGAGCTAAAGAGGTCCTATACCTAAAGATAATTTGAAAAAGAACAGAACAAATAGTTTTAGTTATAAAGGTAAGAGTGTTTTCCAGGAGATCAGAAGCTGGACTACTGTATCTCAGAATCTATTTACGGCTCTGAGAGCATTACCTCACGTTGGGTTTTCTCCCTGCTTGTGATGCTTGATTATCTCGAGCTAGGTTTCAATTGGAAGCATAATGTGTTGTCTAATGGTAGACCCTGCTGCCATATGGCTGATCTGACTGACTTTCTGCTTCATTTACATGCAAGAGCAGGCTCTCAATTGTTTATCTTACTTTAACAACACTACATACAGTATAATACATTTCTCACTCTTAATCTTCCGTTTTTGGATTTATTTATGGTCCAATCACCCCCTCCCCACCAGTCCCCGATGGGGGTCGGTGACCTGTGCCCAGGTGGGCTAATCCCCATAAAAAAATAAAAAATAAAATAAATAAATAAAATATAAAATACCACACGTTTATGGATCCATTGGTGATGGTAGCACAAGAATCACCACTATGCTTGGATACCATTGTGCACAGTTTCACAAAGGGATGGGATGACTAGAGACATATAAAGAGAAAGCATTTCACTTGCAATGACTACTGAGTGACTGTAGGATGAGGGGATGTGGGGGGAGGGGGGGTACTGTCATATACCTGGAGTGAGAGTACATTCCTGTGCATCTGGGGACAAAATGGTTACCTCAGCTAACTACCAGGTCACATTTAATTTTTGATCGGATCTTCATTCGGATAAGTAAATATCACTTTCAGATAGCGAAACAGAGGTGTAAGAATAGAATATTCGGAATAGCGATAATACAAATACTGTACCAAGTTAGTCAAATTTATTTCTTGGTAAAAAAATTTTCCACTTATTATTCAATTAAAAATACTGGATAATGTACAAATTATTCAGGGATTACACAAGTCTTCTCTTTATACATTCAAGACCTTACTTGCTACAATGCTGGGTAATAAACCTAAAGCATATACAAGCTATTCATTAACTCCCACAAAAAAAAGATCAAACAAGTTATGTTTGTCCAAAAATATAAGTAATATCTCCATTAGCCAGAATACCACAAACCCAGACTGCTGTGGGTAGTTTTAAAGTTTTTGGCATTTTTGCGGCCAGGAGAGGGAGCCATTCATTCTAGAGACAGTAATTTCCTTTACCTGTATTGTATATATATATATATGTGTGTGTGTGTGTGTGTGTGTGTGTGTGTGTAGACACACACACAAAACACATACAAATAAATATAATGGGAAATCCTCTCACAAAAATAATCAGAAATAAATGTAGTATTATAAATGTTGAGTCTACCCTACCTATATATATATATATATATATATATATATATATATATATATATATATATATATATATATATATATATATATATATATATATATATATATATATATATATATATATATATATATATATATACATATATATATACAGGTAAAATAAATAATTGTCCTAAGGGCAAATACATAAAGGGAATATACATATTTGTAAAAACTGTCTTTTTTTTGTACACAAGTAAAAATTTTACCCTCTCACCCTGTCAGCAAATGTTATTCGCTGCCATTTTGAGAACCTTACCCCTGCAAATTTGAAGGGCATGCTGTACTACACAACAACTCAATTAGGGTTGAGTGTGTTATTTTTTTGGGTGTGGAGGGGGAGGGGAGGGGATTTTTATAATTTTATAATAATGTTTGATTAACTCAACACCAAATGAACCTAAGTAATATGGGAATTACAGTAAGTTGAAGTTGTATACTGTTGTCATAATGGGGCCATGGGGCGGGGTCAGCCACCCTCCCTACCTCCAACACACAATTCACTTCCCACTATTCATTTTTCTTATTTATTGTTCTATATTATATTTTCTTTATTTCTAAATGAGATTAGAGCATTGAAATGATATTTAAATTACATTTTCTTTATTTCTAGGTCACATTAGAGCACTGAATAGATATTTCTACAACACTGCAGCAGCCAGCACTTGGCCATGATTAATAAATATTTAACTGCAAAACTTAAAAAAAAAGAGGTATCCATGAATTTGTATTTTGCAAATTATTATGACTCCACTGCATTAGAAATGGACTATGAACTACAGGTACAGTATATTACTTACGTATCTGACTCTTCTTTAGCTGGTTAACAATAGATTTAAAAAGATCTTGCATATCCTTGTTTGTTGTACAGATGGACAACTCAAATATGAGAGCAACATCAGCTGAGCCTTTAGTTTTACCCTGGTATGTATGTCTCCATCCACTGGGCACTTTCTCTCCAGAGATATCACAACTTCCACTGGCCTCTGCAAAACATTATTATACAGGAATATAAAATAAAATACATCGGAACATGGTTGATCAGTTTTCATGCAAAGTGAATTGTAATCATCAAAACTGTTTCAGAAACATTTTAAGAATATCCATGATTTAGTATTTATGATGTACAGGAAAGCCTCTGATAACAACGGTTCTACTACGACGATTCATATTTAAGACCCTGGTTAATTTAGGACCCAATTCAATTTACACCATTATTTTCTTTGTATTTACGATGAAAATAGAATAAAAAATTAAATTAAATTAAATTTTCATATAAATAATAACTAAATCCTGATATGTATTACTGTATGCAAACAAAAAAACACGCCCTGAGCACGGAGGCTGCCGGGCTTGTGAGTGGGAACGCCAGCATAACTAGTATAAACAGTTGCAGCTGGCCGGCCCTTTGTTTTCAGGCATCTGAACAGGAAAAGGAGAAAAACTTTCAGGTTTCTTACGGCATTTTTGCATCCCTATTCAGCATGAGCAAGAAAGCAGGTGATGGTAGTGCTGGTTCAAAAGCTAAAAGAAAGTGTATCAGCTTAGCCGAGAAACTAAATGTGTTAAAACAATACGAAAAAAGGTGAGAGGTCTGAGGATATTATATGGAGCAAGCATGAACATAATATTATTTTCTGAAGTGGATCCATAAACAGAACGAAGCATTAAAATTAACAGGGACGTGAAAAAATCATGTGACCTCAGCATAAAGATGTATAAAGAGAAAAGAAAGCAGCTGTGAAAGGTTCTTTAGACAGCTTTACTATTAGAAGGACTAAACCATCAACTTCAGCTACACCATCAACTTCAGATTCAGCTACACAATCAAATTCAGCAGCAGCTTCAGCAACAACTACAGGTTCAGTAACAGTTTCAGCAACAGCTTCAGCAACAGCTATAGCATCTTTATGGAAAACTACAGCTTCAACCAGAGTTGACCCTACAGCTTCAAACCAAAGTTGAACCTGATGACTTCGTCATCGAGTAAAAACTCACACATCATCATTGGCATGTAAAGTCCATTTCAACATAACTCTAGATTGCTAGGAAGACCGGAAGGTCAACATTCCGGAAGGAACGCTAAGTCTAGCAGCCTCGCTAAAGTTCGCCTGCAAAGGCTGAACCCGCTACTGAGGACATCAATAAAATAAAGTTATGGAGAGAAAAACTCAACTCTGGCCTTTATGCTGAAAGCAATTAGAAAACCGAGGGCGGAAGCCCAAAGGTTTTTTGTGAATGAACAAGAGTAGGGAGAGAGACAGTCATGGCAGTCATACTAGCACGTGAATAATTGGGACAAAGAAAACCGTAAACAGTATACATATACTGTATATGTATATATAAATGGATAGATTCACATACAGTATTCTCTTTTAGAGAAGACGAGCCCGGGAGGGCGCAGCGATATTCACTGAGCGACTTAAAGGCAAGGAATAGTCACAACGATCTAAACGACTTCACAAAGACGTGTTGTGGTCGCTATGATGCTGACCAGAGATCGTATAAGAAATTGTCCCAAATACAATAATTGAGACATAACAAAATAAAAGTCACTCTACTTCATCACTGTGTACTAATAAGTACAAATACCGTATATAAAATCCTCGCGGAGCTTAGTATTTCAGCAAATACAACACAAATTCACAGAGCTCTCCTTTGTGTGTATTTACAGCTGAATCGCCAGGCAAGAGATGAAGGTCGTGATGCGTATGGTGGGGTGTGAAGGAGGGGATTTTGAGAAGTGCAATTAAATGCCAGGTAGTGACGTGTCCTCCTAATATTACTTATTAAGTAATTATTAATGTTTTAATTGCCTGTGTGTTGGCCTGGCGAGTTAGCTAGGAATTAACATACCTAGGTAACATGCTGAAGCGTCGCATTCCGAGCTATATCATAAAAACTGGTTTTTAGAAAAAAAACGGCTTTTTTACCTTAATTTTACTACAGCAACAACCAGGGTCTTATTTTCTTCAGTTTCAGATGGATAACTGACATTATGGGTGTAAACACTGACAACAACAATGGTGTCCCATCTCCGCTTGTGTGATCATATTATTAGTGATTTATATTGTATAAGGTGCATTCAGAAACACCTTTTAAAGAATATAGTTGTCATTTTTCATTAATTGTATTGTTTGGGGGGAAAAAATAGGGTAAAAAGCCACACAAAAGATATTAAAGATCACACTGGGGAACACATTCTTATTATCGCTTTATTTTAATGGTAATTGATGATTCACGATACGATGATCCACCTTACACTGCAATATTAGAGGACACATTACCGTCGTTATTTGAGGCTTTACTGTACTGTGTGTATTTGTGTACATATCATGTGTCTGCTTACAGTCTGTAGCTGGTATTATTAAAAAAGATCTTCCATCTGCCAAATATTACTTCCATTCGGAGGAATTTCTCTCACCTCCACCATCCATAAAGAATTCTTTGCACTAAAAAGTTGAAATCCTCTGCTGGTAGCCCTTTTCCTCCACGAGAAGCACTGCATCCACAGTTTATGTACTGGAACCCCATAATTGTAAATAAACCCAAGTTTTTACCACATTTACACATTAGTTGTAAGGCTCTTCTGGGATAATGTACCGTACCACTGGGTTCATTTTCATTTTATGCCCATTGTGGTGTTCAGAGATAAATTTTAGTATAATAAGATTTGGGAAATATTTGGCTGGTAACTTTTTCCAATTTCCAAGATGAAACCGTTCTTTTCTCTCTTCTTTTCAGTGATGATAATCACTTCTTGTGCTTTTTTTTTTTGCTTGTACAGTGCTCAAGAAAACCTGAAATTATGGAGCCCAGCTCAAACCATGACAAACCTTATCTATGCATGGGGTTGTGCCCCACAGCCAAAATAATACTGGCTATAGATTACATACCCACACATAGGTAAGTTTAGGAAGGCTTGTTAATGTTTCAATGGCACATAGCCTAGTAGGAGTCTAGGTTAAGAATTTTGTCTTAAACCACTGCTCAAAATAATTTACACAAGAAATGATTATCATCATTGAAAAGGGGAAAACTGAACTAGAAATACAACATATTGTCTCGGGAAAAAAAAAAAATTATCAGCTTAGTATTGAACAAAAATTCAGCTGCATTCTCTGATAATAAATTTACTTCAAAATGCCGTGGTAGATATAAAACTAATATTTACCAATGGTTGGGCACATCACAGGAACGTGGTGATGTAGTACACTAGCGACATTTTGATGGGATGAATATTGCAATGGACGCAGGAAACTGTTTTAAAAATTTGTTAATATTATTTATATTACCACAATAAATTGGATTACCGGTGTATTATGTTAATAGAAATATGGTTACTATACGAGACTTTGCAGAACTTATTTATCATTATTCAGCACACTCAATGAACATAGGGGACAATAAAATGTGGAAGAATTTTTGAAGGGATGGTCCCAATATTTCATTCAAATTACAGTAATTTGTCCTGTTCAAAGGAAGAATTCTTATGTCACTGAGGGAAGGAAATTTTCTTGAATACAAATTTTGCTAAAGAATTTTTTGCAAGTGTCTGTCAATGGAAAGAATGTTTTAAGAATACCAGTGTGTGATCATAGAGATTATCTGGACATTTTTCATTAAAAATCTTTACACAATCTTCTTTTCTCTAAAACCTCATTAAAAATATTTCAAAACTAAACTAAAGTTTCTTAAAATAAAGGTAAAGTTAAAGGATTTACAGTACTGGAAAAAATATAGTATTAATGGAACATAAAGGTTAATAATTAAAAAGTGAAAACCATAAATCATTTAATTACTTACTAGGTTTACACATCTCCAGTTCTGGCAATTGAATTCCTCGAGACCAACACTGGGTGCGATAGGAAGATACGGCAATACAGGGAGAATTTAGATCTTCATCAGTAAATGCTGGATGACTCTGGCCATTAATACAGTGTGTGAAGTAAGGTCTCGGATCTACTATGCGTAAACACTCACTGAGGGGACTGGTACTATGGAGGAACAACTGTGAACACTCGCTCACATCTTCAGCATCACTTATACTCTCCAACTGTCTTGCTTGGTTTGCCTGATCATTGAAAAATTTATCATGAGTAAGATAATAAAATACCAGCAATTTTAATTTCATAATTATAAACAAAGTTTAATACAGTACAGTACATTTATAAATTAAATATGCAGTATTACCCCGCTTTACACGGTTTCACTTTCCGCGATTTCTCATTTACGCGGTACCTTGCCAGAACTGGACTTTCACTTTCCGCGGTGCATCTACTCATATACGAGGTGAAGTATAAATTTTTTTTTTCTATTTAGCTCATAAAATTCATACAAATTACCCGGCCAGAATATAATTTACATTGCTGGAATTCTTACAATATGATGATCATTTTGAATATAAACATCATGGATTTTGCATTAGACATACAAATTTTAGATCTAATGTAATAATTTGGTTTACACAAAGCAAATATTTTATCCTTTGTGCAGAATATATGAAGTTTACATTCAAAGTATTCCCTGACCTGCAAGGAATCCAGAAATGTCAATTATATTATCCTAACTTTAGTCCGAGTTATTATTTATTACTAAAAATGTAAATATACTATTTTCTCCCAAAGCTTCTCTGGTAGGGAGGGAGGGAGGGAGGGAGGGACCGACCCAGCTAGGGCGGAGTATTTTGATTGACAGATCGTGTCCTTGAAGAATATTTCTTTGTTTATTTACTGAAGATATAAAAGATATAAGTTTTAGCTCATAAAATTCATACAAATAACCCGGCCAGAATATAATTTACATTGCTGGAATTCTTACAATATGATGATCATTTTGAATATAAACATCATGGATTTTGCATTAGACATAAATATTTTAGATCTAATGTAATACAAAGTAACTTGGTTTACACAAAGCAAATATTTTATCTTTTGTGCAAAATATATGAAGTTTACATTCAAAATATTCCCTGACCTGCAAGGAATCCAGAAATGTCAATTATATTATCCTAACTTTAGTCTGAGGTATTATTTATTACTAAACGTTAAAATCTAGTGTTTTCACCCAACATTTCTCAGAGAGGTAGGAGCTAGTGAGCTGGGAAGAGGGGGGGGGGGGATTTGAGTCCATTATTTGAATGGACATTAACCTGGCGACTGTATTTCTTTTAAATATTAATTGTGTGAGCATACCATCATAAAAAATAGATGTTATTTTTACTACAACATAGGTATTGTGTAGGAAAAAGTGGAGTTTGGGGGTCGGGCCAGTCTCTATTGGAATTAATCCCATATGTTCTGTTGTTCACTTTACGCGGTTTTCACTTGCCGCTGTACCCTGAGGGTTCAATTGACCGTGTAAATCGGGGTACTACTGTACATTACATAAGTTCCAACATCTTACTTTACAGGTATACTCCGAAAACCTACGTCCTATTAACCGCAGATTCGCATAACCCGCAATTACATATCGGGGAAATACCCAAGTTTTGTTGAAACCTCGGAGATCCGACAATCAGGAGAAGAGCGGCAGAGCTGTTTTGAATTTGGAGGGCAGTGGCATGGTGTGAATTCTTGCCACAAGAGGGCTCTGCACACTGCCTCTGACTCACTCCAGCCTCTCTGCACTTACCATGTGTGTTTTTCGTTATTTCCGACTTGGTGTATGTAATCAAACCTAAACGACCCAGTGATAGCTCCTCTTGTGCTCAGTTTGATGTGATGTAACAAGGCATAATAAGAGCGTTGATGGACCAACAAAGAGTGGTAGAGACTTGAACTTGCCACCCTAGACCATCTCTACCATCCACAACACAGGTAAATAACAGTCTATATTTATGCTTTACATTGCTTATTTAAGGCTTATTATGCTTTCTTTATATATCTGCTTTAATTTCTTGCTTGACAGTGTGCAGTACAGAGATATATCAAGGGTAGATGGGAGTTTTTGGGGGTGGCCGGTCCCTAACCCTCTAAATTTGTTTTATATTACCCTCGATAACTTGGCACATATGGGTCTCTAGCCTTGCCGAGTTATCCCAAACTCGACTTATCGAGGCACTTCTCCTCTCCTACAAAAATACAATAAAAAAATATTGACCCATATATGTGTACATGTAATTACTAACTGTAAAAAGGTAACACTTACAGCACTGTAGGTGAAGAATGAAGCATCATGGTAGGTGACACAGAGGTATGGTAGGTGACACAGAGGTATGGTAGGTGACACAGAGGCATGGTAGGTGACACAGAGGCATGGTAGGTGACGCAGAGGTATGGTAGGTGACACAGAGGTATGGTAGGTGACGCAGAGGTATGGTAGGTGACGCAGAGGTATGGTAGGTGACGCAGAGGTATGGTAGGTATGAGGTATGTTAGGTGACACAGAGGTATGGTAGGTGACACAGAGGTATGGTAGGTGACACAGAGGTATGGTAGGTGACACAGAGGTATGGTAGGTGACACAGAGGTATGATAGGTGACACAGAGGTATGGTAGGTGACACAGATGTATGATAGGTGACAGAGAGGTATGGTAAGTGACACAGAGGTATGGTAGGTGACACAGAGGTATGGTAGGTGACACAGAGGTATGGTAGGTGACACAGAGGTATGGTTAGTGACACAGATGTATGGTAGGTGACACAGAGGTATGGTAGGTGACACAGATGTATGGTAGGTGACAGGGAGGTATGGTAGGCGACACGGAGGTATGGTAGGTGACACAGAGGTATGGTAGGTGATTACAGGCATGGGGAAGTATCACAGAGGGCAGGGTGACAGAGGCAAGTGGTGGGGTGACAGAGGCATGGTAGGGGTGACACAGATTTATGGTAGGTGACACAGATGGGATGGTAGGTGACAGGTATGGTGAAAGACAGAGGTATGTAGAGACACAGAGGCATGGTAGGTGACACAGAGGCATGGTAGGTGACACAGAGGCATGGTAGGTGACACAGAGGCATGGTAGGTGACACAGAGGCATGGTAGGTGAC